CTCCAAAAAGCAGGTGAGGGAATTCCTGGGCACCGTGGGGTTTTGCCGCCTCTGGTTTTCAGGGTTTGCTGAAACTGCAAAGCCCCTATATGAGGCTGCCAAAGAAGGACAGGACTTCAAATGGACACAGGAAAGACAAGAGGCCTTTGAAACCCTAAAACACAAACTCTTAGAGGCCCCTGCCTTGGGACTTCCAGACATAAGCAAACCTTTTTGTCTATATGTGGATGAACATAGAGGTATTGCAAAAGGAGTCCTCACCCAGAAAGTAGGTCCCTGGAAGAGACCTACTGCATACCTATCAAAGAAATTAGACCCAGTAGCAGCTGGATGGCCCCTTTGCCTGTGAATTATAGCAGCAGTGGCCCTGCTGGTTAAGGATGCTAACAAATTAACTCTGGGACAGGACCTGCTTGTAGCAACCCCTCATGCCGTTGAGGGAGTGCTCAAGCAACCCCCTGATTGATGGTTGAGTAATGCCCGATTAACTCATTATCAGGCTCTGCTCTTAAATCCACCCAGGATCATCTGCCAGGTACAGACGGCCCTAAACCCAGTCACACTGTTGCCAGATCCTGATCTTGGGGACCCACTCCATGACTGCACTGAAATTCTGGCACAAGTGCATTGCATCCGGCCTGACCTGAAGGATGTCCCCTTGCCTGATGCCGAAGAAACCTGGTTTACGGACAGAAGTAGCTTCATCAGAGATGGTAAAAGGCATGCTGGGGGAGCAGTCACAACTACCTCAAGAGTCATTTGGGCCAAGCCCCTGCCAATAGGCACATCATCCCAAAAAGCTGAACTGATTGCATTTACCAAAGCCCTAAAGATGGGTAAGGGAAAGAGACTCAACATCTACACAGACAGCAGATATGCATTTGCCACTGCCCACATTCATGGGGCCATCTATCAAGAGAGAGGCCTCCTTACTGCAAAGGGAAAAACTATTAAAAATAAACAAGAGAGCTTAGACCTCCTGCAAGCTCTCTGGGGCCCAACAAAACTAGCCATAATCCACTGCCCGGGCCACCAAAAAGGGAACAACCCCATCCAGAAGGGAAACAACCTGGCTGACAGGGCAGCTAAAGAAATAGCTCTAACCTCCTCAATTATGCCCACCCTGGTTGATCCCAGAGCAAGGGAACTGTCTAAAACTCCCCATGGGCTATAGCCCAGAGGACTTAGCCTGGATATACACTCTCCCTATGACTCAATGCCTAGAGGGCTGGTGGAGGACAATGGATGGGAAAGTTATCCTACCTCAGAATTTGGGCATAAGATTGCTCAAGAAAATACATCAAGCATCACACATGGGCACCCGAAGGATGCAAGACTTACTAAGAAGGGCCAAAGTTAAAATTCAGGAAGGAAATCAAGCCATTGAAAAAATTGTTAGGCATTGTCATGCCTGCCAATTAACCAACTCAGCTCCATCCCATGCTAACCCAGGATCCCGGAGCAGAAGGACATGACCAGGTACATATTGGGAGACTGACTTCACTGAGATCAAACAGGGAAAATTTGGATATAAATATTTACTAGTATTCATAGACACCTTCTCTGGATGGACTGAGGCCTACCCAACCAAGCATGAGACTGCTCACATAGTAGCCAAGAAACTAATCGAAGAGATCCTGCCCAGGTATGGTTTCCCAACTACAATCGGATCAGATAATGGGCCAGCCTTTGTCTCTCAGGTAAGCCAGGGAATA